ACAAACAGTGTGGTCTGAACAGCCTGACGTGAGTGAACAAATCCCAGCCCTTCCCCTGGAAAGGACACAGAGCAGAATACCCTGGGCAGGGGCAGAGGTGTAGCCCTGTCTGGGGATGGCTGACCGAGGGGGTGCTGAGACAGGCTGAGAACCTATGGCACTGGTGTCCCTTGGCAGGATCAACAGCTCTGCCCACACAGGACAGAGGAGGGAAGCACTTGGGTGCTAGTTAGAACAGAGGCTTTGGCCCCTGTGTGAGTGGGCAGCAGAGTACAGCTGAGCTTCTGGAAGAGGGATAAAGGCCAGACTGTCATTTCCCTTCCCCAGGAAGGCTGCTAAGGGCTACTGGACACTGCTGGGTGGTCCTTCCGGATTCTCAGAAGTAGTTTTGGAAGGTGTTCAGGGTGCAGGCTCTGAGGCCAGTCTGCCTGCCTCTTTGCCCTTGGCAGGCCAGTCTGTCTCAGCTTCAGTCTTCTCCCGGGGAATGGAGCCTGTAGCTTCTACCTCAGAAGGTTGATGTGAGAATTACTGAGGCAGTACTTAGTATGTAATCTTTTCCAATTACTCTTCACTACCACCAAGTAAGCAGAGAGTAAGAAACATTTTAGGAATTAGTACTGATTAGGTATGGTGAATTAGATACAGTCATGTGTCAATGCTGACATGGTAACTTAACTTGGCATAAACATCAGGAGCCCATCAATTCTGCTGCCAAACTAACTGCATAAAGATGTTCATCACAGCATTATTTATAATGGCAAAAAAGCAGAAGTGACGCACTGCCCAACTGTTAGGACTGGCTAACTAAATAAGCTCAGTCCTCCTATACTTGGTGGATAGTTATATGGAGTTAGACACATTGAGAGTAAGCTCGTGGAGAATGTCCTAGGAGACAAGGGGAGTGCAGTCCAGCGGGTGCACACGAGGTATGGACACAGGTGGTGACAGTGCAGCAGAAGCTCCGTGGGGCCCAGGGAGGCAGGTGTGGAGCCAACAAGCCTGCAGACTGAACCTCAGCCCCCCGGGAGCAGGCAGCTCGCACACTGGGGACTTGTGTGCTTCTTGACCACAGGTTGTCCCACTGCAAACTCCCCGACTCAGTCTGCAGAGATCTCTCTGAGGCCCTGAGGGAGGCCCTGGCCCTGGCAGAGCTGGGCCTCTTCTACAACGGGCTCAGCGAGGCCGGCCTGCGTGTGCTGAGTGAGGGCCTGGCCTCGCCCCAGTGCCGGGTGCAGACACTCAGGTGAGGAGCAGCCTGGGAGGGACCAAGGGAGGGACTGGGGCTCTCACAGCAGCTCCTGAGGTCAGCCCTCCCCTAGGGTTCAGCAGCCAGGCCTGCAGGAAGCACTCCAGTACATGGTTGGCAAGCTCCAGCAGATCCCAGCACTGACCACCCTGGATCTCAGTGGCTGCCAGCTATCAGGACCTACGGTGACCTGCTTGTGCACCACCCTAAAGTGCCCAGGATGCCGCCTGCAAACCCTCAGGTGGAGACAGGGCTGGGAAGGGTGCTGGGAACGCAGCCTCTCAGCCCTGGGCTGGGGTGGGTGCCGGGTCTTCCCCCGAACCTTAAAGAGGAATCTCTCCCAGGGCCCTCCTGAGGCAACCCCGCGATAACTCGGGCCCTGGAGCCCCACCCTCTAAATCCCTGGCCCCGGCCCTGGGCCTGGGCCATCCACTAGACCAATTGTCCGTTGTCAGGTGCCCATGCCCAGAATACGGGCCAGTGACCCCAAATCCCCTTTAGTCCCCTGAAGGCTCTGGCCCCTAGTCCCTGCCCCATTCCCCACCCTCTGACAATCCCCGACTGCCCACCTCCTGTCACCGTGTGCCTTTGGCACAACCCAGGTCAGCAGCCCCAGCACCACCCCGCCACTGCTCCCCGGTCACTGCACCCTCAGGCCCCCTCCCTCACCAAGCCCACTGCCATTCTCCGCACACGGCTACAGGCTGACCTCCGTGGAACTGAGCGAGCAGTCCCTACAGGAGCTTCGAGCTGTGGCGACAGCAAATCCGAGACTACTCATCACACACTCAGCGCTGGACGTCCATCCCAAGCCCCCCAACGTGTTCATTAGTGCCCTTTGAGGTCCTGAAGGCCAGAACTAGGGAGAAATTTGGTCAGCCCTACAGAGTAGACCTCCCCATTTCAAGGACGAGAGGATGGTGATCTCTGCTCTGGGCAACCCTTGAGCCTGAGGGCCCTGGGGCAGGGAGGTGGGAGACTCAGAGAGACAGGGCCCTCGCCTGCCCCAGGGCACGCCCAGGACATGTCCCTTCCCCCACACCCTGGGGACAGCTTATGTCTCTGTCCTCCCTACAGGGAAGAGGGCCCCTCCCCTAAACCTCACCGCTGCCCCACCCAGGTTTCTCTCCTGGGACCCTCCAGCCCTCCCACTGCAGGGTGAAGCTGAGAGCACCAGGAACTGAGCACCGACCATGTGTTGCCTCTACCTGCTGAGCTCAGCGCAAGATGACCCATTTGTGGACCCTGCCCCACTCAGTACAGGCACCCAGAGCCCAACCGCTCTGCTCTGGCCACAGGGGACCAAGCAGGGGCCAAGGCGCCCAGAGGTGTCCAGTTGCTCTGAGGACTTCAGTGACCAAGGGGAGAGGAGATGGAGCTCTGAGCAGGGCTGTGATGGCACAGGTGGGGTGAGCCCCGTGTGCTGATAATAAATTCTCCTTGGGATTCAGGTCTGTCCTTCTCTGCTGCACAGCCAGGCATCCTCACGGGTGCTCATGCCCTTGCCTTTGCTCCCCAGCCCATCTGAACGGGGCAGAGCTGCAGCCCCCATTTCCTGGGTGAGCTCAGGGGAACAGCTGGATTCAGGAAGTTCTGATGGGAGGCTTGGCCTTGACGGGCAGGGCCAGCAGCAGACAGCCCGAATCCTCCCGTCTTCTCTGCTCAACACAGCTGGACTCCGCCAGCTTCTGCGGCCCTAGTCAGAAGGGCCTTCTGGGTCCCTTCATGTCCCCCAAACTTCTTTCTATAACCCATTTTCAAATCCAGTTATTCATTCCACAAAGCAGACAAAATATCCCTGCCCTCCTAGAGCTGGCATTCTAGGCAACTGATAAATGCTGAGGAGGAAGGAAAAGAAGTGGGTGGGGGGATGGAGTCAAGGGTTTTCTCTTACCTGTAAGGAGTCTGGGACAATCTAGGGAAGACACGGCACTTGAAAATGGAAGGAAGTGAGGGGTCAACCTAAGGATGTCTTGAGGAAAAGGCAGTGGGACAGCAAGTGTAAAGGCCACACAGCGGCTCGGCCTGCTATTAACAAAATACTGTAGAGCAGGTAGCTGATCTACAACAGAAGTGTATTTCTCACAGTTCTGGAGGCTGGGATGTCCAAGGTCAAGATGCCAGTCAATTCGGTGTCTGATGAGGACCCTCTTGGTGCAGACGGCTGTCTTCCAGCCGTGTCCTCACAGGGTAGAGGGAGTGAGCTCTAAGGCCTCTTCTTCAGTTCAGTTCAGTACAGGCGCTCAGTTGTGTTCGACTCTTTGAGACCCCATGGACTGCAACACGCCACGCCTCCCTGTCCATTGCCAACTCCCGGAGTTTACTTAAAATCTCTTCTTCATAAAGGAACTAATCCTACTCTTGACTGCTCTTGACCTTACTATGTACCAAAGGCCCCACCTACAAACACCATCACAGTGGGGATCAGAAGTCAACCAATGGATGTGGGGGGGACACCCTGAGTCCATAATAGGGAGCCTGCTTGGGATGGTGCAGAAACAGCAGGGAAGTCAGGTAGCAGCTGGGGGGGGGGTGGGGCTGAGGGGGGAGGGGCCTGGGTGTCTCCTCCTGCCAGTAAGGTGGGCGCTGCTGCAGGCTTTGAGCAGACCCTAACCGTTCTCAGGGTGGCTGTGGCTCTGTTCACAAGAGCTGTGAGGCCAGAGCAGGCCTGGTGGGGGCCCTGGGAGTGGGGATGGAGGGGCCTGGGTGGGGGATGGTGAGGTCAGCATTGCTTGTGCTGGGGAGGGGTAGGAAGGCCAAGTTTCAGGCACAGGCTAAATCTGAGTGTCTGGTTGGGCCAGTGATCCCAGCACAGTCATTTGGGTGAGGCCAGGGTTAGAGAGACAAGGTCCAGACAGGCCCAGGGCCCGGAGCTTCCATGAGCAGGGGGGCACGTGCGGAAGATGGAGACTGAGGAGGGGGTGCAGAGCCAGCAAGTGGGGCAGGGACAAAGGAGGGCGGGGCTCCAGAAGAGAACCCCGGACAGGACCCACCTCTCCTGGGGGAGGGCGGTCAGGGAGAGAGGAAGGAACCGGCCGGAGAAGGGACCGGTGAAAGCCGAAAGCCCAGCAGATCCACCCTGGAGAAGCCTCAGGGCAAAGTTGGAGCTGGGCTTCTCTCCGCTCGGCCTCACAGGCTGGGCAGCCGGAGGCGGCCCGGCCCGTCCTTCAACCCCTCCTCGCGCACGCCCGGGGGTGGGGACGCGCGTCCGGCCCGCCCCGCGCGGCCCTGGGGCGGGGACCGTGAGGCCTTCCGGTGGCACGGATGCCGCTGGCTGCTTCTCCTCCGGCCTCTGAGGGGCAGCGCCCGCTGGAGCCGAGGAACACGGCAGGGCTGCGGACCCAAAGACGGGGCCTCTGGCCCGCCTGCCCGTCCCCTTCCCCAGCTGCTGGCCGCACCCTGCCCTGAACCGACTGGCCTCCAGGAGGGTGAGGCCCGCGGGCTGAGACTCCGCCCTTCCTGCCAGCAGGAGCGGTTCGTGGGGGTGCGGCCCTGAGGTGGGAGCTGGGGCCTCCCTTGGGTCCCTGGATCGATAGTGGGGGGTGGGGGTGAGCATCTTCAGGTGGAGGGTGTTTCCTGGGACATCCTGAGAAAATCGGGGCCACCCAGGTGGGCACAGGCCCCTCCTTCCACCTCTGGGGGCATCAGTCAAGTTCCAAGGAGAGCTTTGGGAGTTACAGAAAACAGAGGCCCAGCCAATTGTGGGGCCTCTGACCCCCGCTTTTGCAGGCCCCTCCACGGAGTCACCCTTTCCATGGAGGATGCTGGCAAGGACGCCACCAGATTCACTGCCCATTCTCTGCCCAGTGACCCCCGGCTCTTGGCCACCGTGACCAATGCATACTTGGGCACACGTGTGTATCATGAGACACTGCATGTGAGCGGTGTGTACAATGGGGCTTTGGGGGATACCCACCGGGCCATTCTGCCCAGTCCCCTCAATGTCCAGCTGGCGGCCCCTGCAGGGACAGGAGAGCAGTTAACCAAGACCTATGTTCTGGACACTAACACAGGTAGCCACTGCCTGCCCTCCGCGCACCCCTTACCCCAGCCCCCACCCCCCTGCCATTGTTCCAAGCAAGCAGAAGACCAGACAGAGGTCCCATCCTGGTACCTCCTCACTCAGGATGCCAGCACCTGGCAAAAGGAGGCTCTGAGAGGCTGCTTTGTGAGGCTTCAGCCGGCCGGGCCTCCTGAACGAGCAGGAGCCCGGCGGCCCCCATGTAGCTGTTGCTTCCCTAACAGGACAGCTGGGGCTTGGAGGTAGCTCCCTCACTGAGGGGAGAGGGGGACTTCATTCCCAGCCCAGAGAGGCCGGCGGTTTGGAACTGTCCTGGGCGTCCCCAGGGCGGCTATGAGAATTGCCCCATCTTCCTCTCCACCCTTTCTCAGGCTCCTTCCTGCACACCCTGGAGGGCCCCAGCTTCCGCGCCTCCCAGCGCATCTATGCCCACCGCACGCTGCCTCATGTCCTGGCCTTCAGTGTGTCCATCACCCGTCTGGCCAAGGGGAGCTGGCCCGTCACAGTGCGGCTGCAGTCAGCCTTCTCCCCAGAAAGTCCGGACCTGGACCTGCATCTGGGTCCTGACTTCCAGGGAGCCCGGTGAGGAGGGGCAGGTGGCCAGCTGGGTGGCCGGAGGAGAGGCTGGTCCCTGAGACACAGCTGCCCTCTTGCAGGTACCTGTATGGGCGCACGCTCACCCCCGAGCAGCCTGGGGGCGCACAGCAGGAGGTGCATGTGCTGTGGACCCCAGTGCCCCCTGCCTTGACCCTTGGAGAAGGGCAGGAGGATGCGACGTGGGAGTTCCTGACGGTGGTGGGTGGCAGCCAGGCTGAGGCCCAGGCCTGCCTCGCAGAGGCCCTGCAGCTGCAGGCCAGGCACGCTCTCTACACGGCCCACGCGCAGGCCTGGGCCCAGCTCTGGGCGGACTGTGGCCTGGATGTGGAAGGGCCGCTGGCCCTGCGCCAGGCCCTGCGTGGTTCCCTCTACTACTTGCTCAGCGCCCTGCCCCAGCCCGGGGCCCCAGGATACGTCTGCCATGGCCTCAGCCCCGGGGGCCTCTCCAATGGGAGCCGTGGGGAATGCTACTGGGGCCACGTCTTCTGGGACCAGGTGCGTGCCATCCCCAGCCCTCGAGCTCTGTGGGCCTCTGTGGGCCTCTGCTCTGCCCGGGGTGAGTCTGTGGCTGGGGAGGCACAGGGACACGGCTGGGGAGGCCTGCTGGGGGCAGCAGAGTTGCAGCTGAAGGAGGAGGGATCAGACCAGAAGGTGCAGAGGCCCAGAACTATGCAACTGCAGGACTCCTGGCTGGGGCGAAGGTTGTCCTCCCCTCTGGGGAAGGAGTCACTGTAGAGGGCCGAGGAGGCCACAGAGACTCTACCTGGGGAAGGACATGGCCAGCAGTGTGCTCTGGAAAGACCCCTGGGGCTGCTGACGGGAGGGAGGGTGGAGGAAGGTGAGGCAGCCAGGAGCGGCTGACTGCGGGGCCGTCCACCCACTCCCCACACCCAGACTCTAGCCTGAGCCCAGAAGACGTAGTGCCCACCGGGCCTGAGACGTGTCTTGGTTTGGGGGAGGAGGCCATGGGGCTGGCGGGCAGAGCATCGTCGGGGACAGACCCGAGGGCACGCTGTAGGAGGAAGCTGCATGTGGCTGCAGGGAGAGACCAGGGGCTCTCCCGTGGCTGTGCTCCAGGACCTCTGGGTGCTCCCCGGTCTCCTGCTGCTCCACCCGGAGGCCGCCAAGGCTCTCCTGCAGTACCGCATCCGGACGCTCAGCGGGGCCCTGGACAACGCCCGGAGCCTGGGCTACCAGGTAAGGGGCCCCCAAAGGGCCTGAGTCCCCACACCCCTCTCAGGCCTTCACCCCTCACCCCAGGCCCCCGCTGTGGGTGGGACCTGGCCGTCCTGGATTCCTCCCCCAGCCTGTACTGCACAGTTGGGAACAACAGCCCGATGGGCCCAGCACGGCTCCCCTTGCTGCCCTGCCCCAGGGCAGGGACACAGAAGATGCCAGGCGGAAGCAAGCTGGCCCACGGCTGGGACCCAGTGGGCACTGAGAGCCAGCAGGGCCCCACAATGGCCCCTGCCTCTGTCTGCCCTCCATGGCTGAAGGCTGGCAGCAAGGCGAAAGGGGCAGGCTACCCCTGGCCCCCAGGAACAGAGTCATCTACTCCATCCCCCAACTCCCAGGGAGCCAAGTTTGCCTGGGAGAGCGCGGGCTCCGGCCTGGAGGTCTGCCCTGAAGCCATCTACGGGACCCAGGAGATCCACGTCAATGGGGCCGTGGTGCTGGCCTTCCAGCTGTACTACCACGCCACCCAGGTGAGGTGTCACTGTGCCCACAGGGGCGACCCTCCACACTGCACGACTGCCTGTCTGGGCCAGTCCTGTGGAGCATCTCGGAGCCCGGCCTTCATTGCTGGGCGCTCAGAAGGGTGGGCCTTGACGAGAAATGCAGTGACCAGTGGGAGCTAGAATCACAGGTGCCATGGCCTCTGACATATTCCCTCCTGCCCCTCAGGACTTGGAGCTCTTCCGAGAGGCTGGTGGCTGGGATGTGGTCAGGGCCGTGGCTGAGTTTTGGTGCAGCCGTGTAGAGTGGAGCCCTGAGGAGAAGAAGTACCACCTGAAGGGTGAGAGCATGGCCGTTGCAGAAGGAATGTGGGTGATGGGGAAGGGACGTGGAGCGTGGACGGTCATGAGTGGAGGGGCAGGCAGACTCATGTGACTGCCAGCCCCACAGTGGTGACTGGGCCGGGGCATGTCCCTAAGCCCGTCCATGAAGTACCATCTTGCCTTCTGTGCCCAGGAGTCATGCCACCTGATGAGTACCACCCAGGGGTCAACAACTCTGTGTACACCAACGCCTTGGTCCAGAACAGGTCAGACCCCACCCCGCCTCCACCGCGAAGGGGAAGGAGTGTGGTGGCTGCAGCCCACTTCCCCCTGCCCCCTCCCCTGCCCCTCCCCTGGCTCCCCCTGCTCCCTCCCCCACCCCTGCCCCCTCCCCCTGCCCCCTCCCCCGCCTCACCCCTGCCCTGCCACCTCTGCTCCTAGCCTGCGCTTTGCTGCTGCCCTGGCCCAGGACCTGGGGCATCCTGTCCCCACCCAGTGGTTGGTGGTGGCTGATAAGATCAAGGTGCCCTTTGACTCGAAACTGAACTTTCACCCTGAGTTTGATGGGTACAAGCCTGGTGAGTGGACTTGCAGCTCCTTCAAGGCCCTTCTCTCCTCCTGCAGGACCTTATGTCCACCCTGGATGCCCCCTTCCCAACAGAGCAGTCCCCACCCTGCCCCCACCCCTTCAGCAGCACCTCGCTCTCCCCCCCAGGAGAGGAAGTGAAGCAGGCAGATGTTGTGCTCCTGGGGTACCCTGTCCCCTTCCCCCTGAGTCCCCACATTCGCAGGCAAAACCTGGAGATTTATGAAGCTGTGACGTCCCCCCACGGTCCCGCCATGACCTGGGTAAGGAGACTGCGGGGCGTGGGGTGGTGGTCCTCACAGCACCTTGGCACTGTCCCACTGGCCTCAGTGTCCCCTCCCCCTGCTGTGGGCCTCATGCCAGCATGTCCTCTAACCCCAGAGCATGTTTGCAGTGGGCTGGATGGAGCTGAAGGACCCAGGGCGAGCATGGGCCCTCCTGGAGAAGAGCTTCGCCAACGTCACGGAGCCCTTCAAGGTCAGCCTGGCCCCAGCCTGGACCTCCATGTTCACCACGCCCAGCCCTGCCCTGACCACCTTGCCCCCTGCAGGTGTGGACGGAGAATGCAGACGGATCAGGTGCTGTGAACTTCCTGACAGGCATGGGGGGCTTCCTGCAGGCAGTGCTCTTTGGGGTCACAGGGTTCAGGTGAGTGCAGCAGCAGCAGAGGGTGATCGCCTGCTGCCCCCTGCCCTCCTCACAAAGCCTTCCCTTCCCCAAGGATCACCGCGGCCGGTCTGACCTTCGACCCCACGTGTCCGGTGGGGGTCTCTGGAGTGTGTGTCTCTGGCATCTCCTACCAGGGGAGCAGGCTTAACTTCTCCCTCTCTGCGGGCTTCGTGACAGTCGAGGTCACGGGCCAGGCGGGGCGCTGGGCCCCGTCTCTGGAAGCCGAGTTGTGGCCGTCGCGGACTCGGCTGCCCCTACCTCCAGGTAGGCCCCCCCAGACCCCCCCAAGGCGGCCCCAGTGTGTGCCTTGCCCCACGATGCTCCTCTCTCTGCAGGACGCAGAGTCTGCTTTCCCTGCTCAGCGGGCCGGATACAAAGGTCAGGCCTGTAGGCCGCACAGGCCGCACGCACTGCCCCACGAGCTTCCTGGGAGGCTTTCTGAAGATGTTGAACATCTGCCCCGAGCCCACAGGCCCTGCTCTGGGACACCCTTGGGCCCTGAAGCTCCATGAGCCCCTCCCCGGGCCCCCTCCCCGCAGACAGCCAGGGCTGCCCCCCGGCCATGCCCCCCGTGGGTGCCCCCGAGTGGCTGTACCCGTCCCTTCTCAATGCCCTCCTGGACCCCCACCCGCCTCCATGTGGCAGCCAGGCTCCTGTGGCCTGAGTTCAAGCCTCTGCCTCCAGCCGAGCCCCCAGTGACCCCCGTGGACAGGCTGCTTCCCTGCTGCTCAGCCCCTTCACGCCCTTCCCGAGGGGCCAGTCCTGCGGAGAAGACTGAGGCAGGTGTGGGCCTCGCTGGGGAGGACCACGGGGTGCATGGCGTGGGGAGGACTCAGGACCTGGGTCGCAGCTTCACCACAAAGAGCTGTGTGTCACACGCCTGAGCCCAGGTGCTCCTGGGCTCTCTGGAGGGCCCGGCACCCTCAGTCCTCGGCTTCTCTTGCTGCTGGGCCACTTCGGTCACATCTGATGGTCTCTGTCACATGCCTTCCTCCAGGAAGGAAGGGGTGTGGGGTGTGGAGCAGGGCCCTCTCCCCCCCAACCAGCTGGAAGGATGGGGCCGTGGCGCTGGGCCTGCCCGGCCTGGGCACAGAGCCTTGGCCAAGGCCCCACCCGCTGTCTGCTCTGGGCCTGATCCCCCCAGCTGGCACAGCTGACTTGGGCTCTCGGGTCTTCCAGGGTGGGACGGTGTCTGCTGGGGAAGTAAAGCTTGGTGCCAGGCAAGCTGTGTTTGTGCTGAGGAGCCGATGGGCACCCTCCTGAAAGGGAGGCTCTCGTCAACGGTCAGGTTTCCCTTCCCTTGCTCATGTGGAGCAAGTAAGAGGGTCCCATCACGTCTGCACCTTCCTCCCTCCCCACTCCCCCCCACCACCCCTGCCGCCTTCTTCTAGCAAACTACTGCTCTCCATTCTCAGTGGAGAATTAACCTGAGTTCTCCCAAAAGCAGATACCAGCAGGTAAACTGTGATAGACTGAAGCTCCTGAGGAAGAGAGGACAGGGCTGGGCAGAGGAGCTGGGGTCACCAGGGCCTGCCTGCGTGCGGCTGCAGGGAGCGTGGCCGAGGTGCAGAGCAGCTTCCTGAGTGCACGTGGCCTCAGAATGGAGTCAGCGCTTGATGGGGCTCCCCCGGGTGCCCACAGGCTCTCATCCAGCTGCTGGCAGTCCAGCAAAGGCCCAGGAGGTCTGCTGAAGCCAAGGATTTAGGCCATGGATGGTCCCCATGAAGCAGACACTTTCCTTTGCAGCCCTGGACCCAGATGTGGGCACAGGCATTAGGTGGGGGTAGTAGGTGGCCCTTTGTCCACAGGACTAACATAACCTGACATTTCCCCAGGTGTGTGTGCCATACATGTGTGTGTGTGCCATACATGTGTGTGTGCGCGTGCACACCCACCTGTGCAGGGGAAGGGGCAACCCTTTGAGGGGCCTTAACAGGGTGGCAACACATGTATGCTGCCTGGCTGATCCAGTCTGTGGCAGCCCACTGTCTAAATTTGACCAGGTCCCTTCCTGGGGCAGGAAGCATTACTGGTGACCTTCATCTGTGCCTGGCTTGACTGCACATTCTCTGTCCTCACACCTGGGTATGGGCTGGACGCTCTGCTTCCCTCACCAAATGTGGGGACCAGCAGACCACCCCCTGCTTAGAGACATGTATTTGACCACGCACAGGGTAACCCCAGCTCCCAGCCTGTGTCCAGCATGGGCTGTTCCCTTCCTGGGCCAGACCTGGAGCTTAGTGTTGAAACACTGCTTCCGTGCTAGTCTGAGCACTGGCCTTGTTCTTGGTCCAGTGTAGGACCAGCGCCCAGGAAGGGGCAGAACTCCACCTTCACCCCAGGACCCTCCAGCACAGCCTCTGTCTCGGGCTGGCTCAGAGCAGCACACACTCGGCATGGGGCTGGGGCACCGCTGGCCTGCAGCTGGGACTCGTCACTGATGGCATGTGGTGGAGACAGCTTGGCCAACTGTTGGCTGTCACAGGAGGGGGGCCACTCTAGGGGCTCCAAGTACAGCAGCTCCACAGAGACCTCCACCCCCAGCCCAGGCCGGGTGGGAAGGGACCATGGGTGGGGTGCTCAAAGCCCTGAGCCACCCTGTGGTTAAGGCCCCTGCAATTAGCCCGCCCTGTCATTGGCCTGGCCACAGCACGGCCCCGAGGGCCTCGCCCCAGCCACAGAGTGTGCATGTGTGTTTAGCAGCCCCCTTCTCTGGGTCTGGTAGGAGGCTGCATGGGGAGGTAAAATGATACAAGAACATGCACATGTGCCAAAGACAACACTTAGAAATGTCCTCACCCCAAGTGTCTCCCTCTGTACAATCATGCATGTGTGTGTGGGTGCTCCTGTGCATGTGTGTGATGGGCATGTGCAGAGATGGTGGTGTGACCATGCCTGTCTGCTTGTGTGTCCAGCCCCCTTGATCCAGGAGGGAGGGAACCCACTGCTGGGACGGAGATCAATCAGAATTAAAGGATTGTGAGGTCAGGAGGACAGAGGGACACAAAGAAGGAGGTCAGCAAAGGCCCAGCCACAGACAGGAACGTGCAGGACAAGGACGGATCTCACTGGCCAATAAGATCTCACTTAACACGCGTGCACATGCGCTGACTCAGGGATGGGCACACACGTGGACTCGGAGACTCACCACACATGTTCTGGAAGAGAGGCCACTAAACCACAGCATGGCAGAGATCAAAAGCCCAAGTTCCCCAACTTCATTCTAAAATACTCAGGCGCCTCCGCCCAGAAGCCGCAGGCTGACTGGTGCCTGAACGAAGGGGACAGTCAGGGCACGGCCAAGCCAGCGGGACAGGGCGGCCCACCGAAGATGCTGGGGGAAGTCCAGGGGGACTTGGTTGTGGTGGTCCCTAGGGGAGCTCCCCTCAGGAAGACGCCCTCCCCAGCCCCAGCCAGGAACAGTCCCAGAAGGCACTTTCTGGAACCAGGTCCTTTTAATTGAACAGCTGAGCCTGGTGAGTGGGAAGGGAGGAGCTGGCCTGAGGGCCGGGGGTTAGGGAACTGGGGGCATCGAGCTGAGGGGAAGCCCCTGAGGCCCGAGCAGAAGACCTTCAGAGTCAGTGTTAGGTGCCCGGGCTAGGGCGGGGGTGGGCCTCAGCCTGTAGATGGTCAGGGTTCCAGGGGGCTGGGGTAGAGCCCCGGGGTTGGGGTCCCTGATCGGGACAGGGACAGGGCCCAGCCTGTCAGTCATAGTCGGAGTCATCGAACTTGGTACTGAAGAAGGCGGCGGAGCCCTTGGCCAGCCGAGACAGGTGCAGGGCGCCGGTCACCACCAGCACCAGCAGCAGCAGCGGCGGCACCAGCGCCCACATTGTGGCCAGGATGTTGTAGCACTTGGCTTTGGAGCCGAGACGCCGGGCTGCCTCCAGATCTCCAGCCACCTTCTGGTCTCGGGCCTGTGGACCAGCAGCAGGGCCAGGTCTCTACACGTTCACAGGGACTGGGGGCCCCACCACTCCCATCCCAGGCAGCCACTGGGTCCACACCTTGGGGGATCCATGCTGGACCCAAACCCTGGATGGAGGGGTGAGGCCTGAGGGGATACTGTCTGGGCTGGACTCACTCCCTTCACTGTCCCCAGCTGGACACATGGGCTTGACCTTCCTTGGGGGGTCTTGGGTGGTAAAAGGTCCAGCCTAAGGTGGGGCTGAAGGCAGCCTGTGCACCCTCCCACTCCAGTTAATGGACCCAGTGGCCATCCCAAGCCAGCATCTACCTTCCAGGATCCCCGAGGGTAGGGAGTCCTCATTGGTGCTGGGAGGCCGCCACCACAGGAGCTGAAGCTAGGCAGCTGTGCTAACAGGAGCCCCCATGTGTGAAAAGCCCCATTTGAAAGAAGAGAGCTCCTTGGGTAAGGCCCCGTCTACCCTGGGTCCTTTGGGAAAGATTAGACACCCCCCTTCATTTTTATGAACAGCAGTCAGACTCAGAGGCCCTCTGGGAGGCAGGCCTCCCCCCACTGTCAGGCTGGAGGACACCCAGCAGAGTCCTCCTGCACCCCCTTGATAAGCAGCCCCCATGAAATGCTCCTGGGCCCCCACGAAGCCCCCCAGGCCCACCTTGATGGAGTAGGCCAGCGCCAGGAAGCCGAGGCAGCACAGGTTCAAGTAGAGGGTGCTGAACACGGACCAGATCAAGTGGTCTCGAGGTAGGGGTCGGGGCGCCCCCAGCGTCAGGGCCGTGTGGGTGTTGCCGTCAGCCTTGCGGGGCGTCGGGGCCCGGGGGTCCTCGCGGGGGTACGACGTGTCCATGGGTTCCAGCGCCGTCTCCTCGCTCGGACTCCTGCTTCAAGGGTGGGCGCCCCGCCGCTTAATAGCCCCCGCCGCAGCCCGGCCGACCGGCCCGCCGCTAAATATAACGACAAATGACATCCCGCAGAGCGCCGCCCCGCCCGCCTCGCCCGCGCGCGCCCGCCGCCCGCCCCGCAGGGAGCCCCGCCCCCAGAGAGCTACCCGCTCACCGGGAGACGCTACCCCACAGGCTGGCAGGCGGTGGGGAGCCGCCAGCCCCCCCATCCTGGGGTCCAGCTAGGAAGCCCCCATCCAAGGCGGCTGGCCGAGGCACGCGGTGGCTGCGCTCTGCCCACCGGAGCCCCCTCCCCCGCGGACAAGAGGAGGTGGAGGCGCTGGACCAGGGCCGCTGTGGCTGGGTGGCTGCCTTGGCTTCTGCTGTCCTCGGCACTGCCCAGATCACCGTCTGATCACCCGTGTCCAGCCTTAGGGGTATGACAGTTCCCGTGAGTGCCAGGGGGAGGAAGCAGGCCACGTCCAGGTGGAACTTTGACGGTGCTAAGGAGAAAACGCAGTGTGGAGAGAGAAAGCCGGGGGTGCGCACGGTGGGGGACTGGCTGTGACCGGGCCCTGCTGTTGG